ACCTTGTTATCTTGTCATTTTTGTAGAGGATGTTATACATGTTCAAATGGTATAAAATTTTTATAGTAGTCTATTGGGAGCACTTGGAAGCTACTGTAATTTTCTGAGAATTTATTGTGCATATTTGGTATATGTTCGTTATTTCACCTAATTATCTAATTAAATTAATAAAGGCATTTAAATAAATAAATTGGGCTTGACCATGATGTTTTCTATGGTACTTGTGACACATATGAAGTGTTGATGTTAGTAGTAAGGCTTAAAAGCAATTGGTTGTATGCAACTAATTAATTATTGCTTTATAATTCAACTAGATGGCTGCATGTATAGTTTTGGTTGAGTTGATAAGTTCAAGATGACAATGGACTCTTCTGTAAAACTTGTTACTAAAAAAGTTGTAGATAACTTACTTATCTACCTTGTGTTCAATTTTCATAGTCATAAGCCTTATGGTTTAAGAATTATGGCTGTTAGAATTCTGCTGTCACAAATGCTTGCTCTCTCGATAGATTTGAATAATTGACTTGTTTGACCTAGATAACTATTGAATCACATTAAGGTTATTAAAATAAAGTTATATACAATTTCGTAAGCTTTCTAGAATGTCTACAACCATATCATTTTGATGTATATAACTCCAGTTATGGTCAAAACAAGTAGTTGTTGTCTTATAGTCTAGAAAATAATTTTCAGAAGTGTTTGCTTAAGTAATAGAGAAGAGATATACACCTACTTAGTAGAATAGGATGCACTTGTTATTACTTTAATACCATGCTGTTGAAAACACTTATGGGGATACATTCATCATGTTATATCATATTATACGTGTCATCATATATGCATTCGTGATATCTTATTCCATGCTCATGCATATAGGATCGTGTGAGGAGATAACGTTGTTAGAGTTCAACGAAGAAGAGGAGGAGGGTCAGCAGGAGAATCCTTAAGCCGTAGCTCCAAGAGAAGAGGAGCAGACTCTCGAAGATCTCCCTGAGTGTTCCGATCACCGGCCAACCTCTTTCCTCAAAGGCAAGCCCAGGAGCATTCTAAGTCTCCCATGTTTTACAAAATACTACTTGAGTCCTTTATGTTTGATGCATTAGGTTATAAGAGTTTATTGGAAACACTTAATACATAGAGCTACCTTGTCCAGTTACATATATCTTTAACCTAGTGTAGATCTAGGATCGAATATATGCTTAGCCATGCATAGACCGGTAGAAGTCGGGTGATTTCCTGTCACCTGCGAGATATAGGTAGATACCGAAGCACGGTTGGCTATATTTGCTATCATAGAAAAGAACCATGGGTAATGTAAATGGAGGCTGGGTGGAGTCTATGTGTAGGTTGACTCATGTGATTCCGTCTATGCTGGTTAAGGACCGTACCGTTGTTGGCGCTTCTGACAAGATTGAACGCATGCCTATCACTTAGCTAGTGGGAAACTCGTTCTAACCACGAAGCCGAGTAGCTCAACTCAAGCCAAGCCCTGTTCTATAAAAGTGCACACTCTGGATGGTAGTAAGGATGTGCAGGGAGCCAGCCATGAGCCCAAGGGCAGGGTAGTCCTGATCGTCCTGGCTGCTGGTTGTCCCTGATTGTGCGTCGCTGGTCGAACCCGCAAAATGTGTACCTGAGTTGTACTAAAGGTGACCTAAGGTGACCATTGATCTAGTCTGCCTAGGTTTGTGTTAGGAATAAATTCTCAGCTAGTTGAAACCGATTCAAATCATCGTCTCTCCCGGATAGTGAGAAACTTGGCTAGTCCCAACATCGTAGTAATTGTGTTATGGAATCTGATGGTTTGGATGAACATGGAATTACTACACCGGCTATGGTTACTATTGTATGCTACTAAATGATATACCACATGTTTGGCACAAGTTAGTTGCTAATCTAGAGATGAATAGCTATAATTAACTTGATAACCGAATTATAATTGTACAACTGAGTTAGTCGCTTTTTATGCAAAATATTGTCAAGCTACCTCCACTTATAAAGCCTTCCATAATCCTTGGAGTCACCTTATTTCTGGTTTATGACGGGTAAGTCTAGCTGAGTACCTTCTCGTACTCAGGGTTTTATTTCCATTGTTGCAGCTGGTATAGTTTATCACACCTATTGCAAGAACTGCTTCGGTACCGCCATGGGTGAAGAGTGAGCCCTGGGCAGGAATCTGTTATTAATCCTACTTATGTGCTTTTGTGGGAGTGTGATCACGAGTTGGCACTATATTTGAACTATGATGGCAAAAAGTTAGCTTCAAACTTTAATTTGCTTCCGCTACTATTTACCGAACTTGGTTTGTAATAACCTTATTTCGTACTCTGATGAATGAACTGTATTTGTGAACTTTATGTAACATGTGACATGTATGTTGAATCATGTACGATCTTGATTGTATGTGGATCATTAATCGAGACCCGTTGTGGTACTCGACGGACTATCGGGTTTATATGATCTCAAGTATGATAGTGCGACCGCTTGAGGGCTGCCATTGTACTTGTGCTCTTATAAATTGGTCGGTTCTGCGACAGGGGTCAGCCACGACCCCTCCTTCATGCCTTAGCCGCACGACGCTCGAAGGGCGCATGACCTCTCCTCTACCATGACCCTCAGAAGGAACGAGGAGAGGTCGAGTGCCGCCAAGCGTGTCTGCTCTGACAAGAATGAGCACGCCGCACTGACCCTGTAAGGACCGAGGGGATAGCAGTCACCTCGGTCCAGTCAGACGCCATTCCTGTGCCATGCCGCACAGACAAGGCAATACCGCCTAAAGTGGTGACAACAGGTACGATGACCACCGACCAGATACGGCCCGACAAGACGAGAGTACGATCCTACCCACTATGGGATGGGATCCACGACGAGAGCCTTGACTTAGAGGCCTCTAGACTGGCAGGAACCACGACCCCAATGATAGGGATCATGGCCCCCTGCTCCCCAAGACAACAAGGCGTTCAACGATCTGGGGGTGGCCACCAACTCCCGTATGATACCCTAGAAAACCAGGAGACGATGAAGAAGACCACGACGGAGACCACGTCACACAAGATGGCTAGCGAACTACCATCATGCCTACAGTGCCGCCACGGTCAGCATAGTAGCACCACGCCACACCATGCCGCGATGTGGCCACAAGACCATGATGACAGCCACGCCTGGACCTACTCCACAAGACGGCGTAGCTTGCAAGACAAGTTAGCTAGGCTCTCCCTCAGGCTCACGACCCTTCGGTCAGGAGAACCTATTGCTTTGTATGCACCCTAGCCCTAAACTCTATATAAGGGTAGCCAAGGCACCCATCTTTGGGAGAGAGACATCCTCTACTATTTCATTCATTCTTCATAGTAGTAGGGCTCCTAGAGCTTCTCTTCAGGCAGTCCATCTCCTAGCTCTAGTTGTCCATCCTCCTTCTCCATTCTTGCACCCCCCCCCATTGTAAGAACTTCAGAGCATTCAAGCGAGGAACACACACTCGATCTTCTCTGAGACTAGACGTAGGGCTTCGGCCTAAACCAGTAAAAATTCTTGTCTTTTGGATGCTACCATCGCCTTCCTAGAGCAGCGCGGCAATCGTATAAATTTACTAGTCTGGTTTACAAAACACCAACAATGCCCTTATTAAATAGAGTTTTGGGTTTCACCCATGCAACAAAGACTCTGTGCCAGACTGGTTAGTGTTGTGAGGCCTAAGGTGGGAGGTCCAAGGATTGACCAATTGATCCCTTGCGTGCTGGGATCCCTTTTTTGCATGAGACACAAATTTTGCTGGGATGCCTCCTTGAGATAGAGCAAATGGGGTTGAAGGACACGAATTTTGCTGGGCTGTGTCCTCAAGGTAGAGTGATCGGAGATGATGGACTAGGGGTAATTTAGTCCAAAACGTTGTTAAACTGTGCAAAACAACTTCAGTTATAAACATCTGACTTACCCTTTAAAATGACTTTAATTTTAAGTACAGAGAAAGTATGTATTTTCTATATGATAGTAGCATTGAGGACACCGTCTTCTTACCTTTTCTCGTCCGATCCTAGAAAGCCAACATCCAGCAATGGGGTGGCATTAGCTGCCGGTCTCACAGAGAAATCAGCAGGATCTAAAGCATCTGCAGTGGGGAGCGCACAGCAAAAGAACTAAGAGGGTGTTTGGTTTGGCTTTTGGCTTCAGCTTTTGCTCCCAAAAGCCCAAAAGCCAACCAAAGGCCTTTACCTTCTCCAAAAGCTAGCTTTTATGTAGTTCAATTTCCACAGCAAGGGTCAAGCTGCTTCCACCGGTTGTAGGGGTGTAACTTTCATCAAAATTACCTGCAATGACATCCATTATAGAAGAAAATGTTTCGTTCCTCTTTGTTCTTTCCCCTTGCATCCGCTCGAGAGCGCTCACTCCACATGCATCCGCTCGAGCCGGCCACGCTAGGGTTTCTCAGCGGGCGGCGGCGTACCTCGCCGGCCCTGCCCTGGTGTGCTCCAGAGCCGTCGGTTCTCTCTAACCTCACCCCGATCCTCTCCTTCGTCGCCCCGCTCATCACCGTCCCCGCCCCTATCTCGGGTGATCGGGCTCCGCATCGGAGCCCTGCAGTTGCGTCGTCCGCTCATCTCCAGATAAAAACAGGTCCCGGCTCCATCGATCTAAGCCTCCAGTGACCGAATCTGCAACGTAGGTACGCCAATCTCTAATAAATGGTTCGATGCATGTTATTCATTCAGTATAGTATGATGTGTGTATGATAAAAATGATGCCTTGGTATTATGGTAATTAGAAAGTCTAAAAAAATTGTTTTGTTTGATTTAAGAATGGGTGACAAGGCAGATTGGAGTGATTTCTTTTTAAAGCATTTGATTGATATATGCAAAGGGGAGATAGAAGCAGGGAGTAGGCCCCTGGGACTTTTCACTAGTACTGGATGGAAAAATCTTGTATCTAAGTTTGTAGAAAGAACTGGTGATGAGTGAACAAAGATAAAGTTGAAGAACAAATTAGACAACATAAAAAGGAATATGGATGGTTCATGGAGTTCAAGAATTATGCCACTGGACTTGGATGGGACGCGGCAAAGGGAACTGTTGCTTGCCCTCAGGAATGGTGGACTGAACACCTTGCTGTAAGAACTGAACTCTCACTATTGATATTATTTTTCATACTTTGATATGGTGTGCCTTGCTAAAATTTTTCATTCAATTTCATAGATGCGATAACCGTGAAAAAAGACTAAAATGCAACCCTGTGAGGTTCAGAAAACAAGGACCGAAGTACCTTGATGATCTTGATCTAATTTTTGGCAAGGTATATGTGACTGGGGCCACTGCATCCTGTCCTGGAGATATATCCTTTGATGAGGCAAGTGATGAGTTCGTGGTCGAGGTACCAAAACCTCCAGAGAATGATGATGTCAAGCTGGCCGCTTTGAAGAAACCAGGGAAAAAGAAACGCAAGAGGTCTTGTACAGCTACTGAAGCCAAAGAAGAGAAGAGTCCATTTTTCGCATGTAAAAAAACACATGTTCAAAGATAGAAAATGCAGCAGAAAAGATCTCGTCAAGTGTATCTGCATCATCAGCTCCTCCAACTAATTTAGTCATCACTATTGGAGAGGCTATGACGATGATCGAAGAGTGTGGGGTGTAAGAAGGAACTGCTCTAATGCACACTGCCACCATGCAGATCATGAAGCCTAAATTTAGAGAGGTCTTCAGCCATCTGAAAACAAATAAAGGAAGGCTGGATGTGATTAAGAGGGAGCATGAAAAGGAGATGATGAGGCGCTAGTGAACCAATTTTTATTTTTATTGTTGTTGTGTGAACTAATTTTAATTTCTATTGTGAGAACTATTAGTTGTATGGTTGTAACAAATAATTTGCTTATGCTGAGACTATTTGCTTGTGCCAAGACTATTTGTGAGATTATTTCTTTGTGTTAGATTATATCCTTATGTGAGATTATTTTCTTGTGTCTAATTATTTCTTTGTGTCAGATTATATCCTTGTGCATATACTGATGTATCCTAGATCAATTGAATTAATAAATTTTAATGTCCTTTTTAGATGGATGAAAACTTGGAAGGTGTAGCTAAAAAAGGACTTAAGGGACTAGTACTCCTAGCTGAGCTTTCCCAGCATGTTGTTGTTATTGGTCAAATGGGTGCACAATACACTGAGCGTTATTTTGACAAAGGTGAGTACAGGGAAACACTAGAAACTGGAATTCAATGGGTGATGAGGTGCTTTGCTCATCCAAGGTACTTCTATAAGATATTTTGAATGAGCACTGAGGTCTTCACAGCACTACATGAGTTGCTAGTATCTGCCTATGGTTTGACATCCACTAACAATGTTTCATCCATTGAGTCATTGGCAATGTTCTCGTGGATTGTTGGAAGCCCACAATCATTTTCACAAGCTGAAAATCACTTCACTTGGTCACCGTGAATAGTTCACAATAAGTTTCACAAGGTACTTAAGTGTTTGCGCAAGTTAGCTAAGGACAATATTAAGCCGAGAGATGCTAGTTTTTCTATAGAACATGAAAGAATCAAAGATGAACGTTTCTGGCCTTACTTCAAAGGTGCTATTGGAACAATAGATGGTTCACATGTTTCGTGGTTGTGCCGGGCGAGGATATGGTTAATCACACATGCCGTCATGGATATACATCTCAGAATGTGCTAGCTGTTTGTGACTTTGACATGAGGTTTATCTTTGCGGTTGCTGGTTGGCCTGATTGTGCACATGACACACGTATCCTCAATCATGCATTGGTAAATTTTCCTTCATTTTCCATGCCTCCTAAAGGTATACACATATCCTTACTAAGCTAGCAGTAAAGTACTTGTATTATTATTTACTTATACTAATTTGATTTCATAGAAAAATATTAACTCATGGACTCTGGTTTTTCAAACTGAATAGGGTATCTGGCCCCTTTCAAAGGAAGCACATACCATATACCAGAATTTCATAATCGTTCTGGACCACCCCAAGGGAAGTATGAGGTGTTCAATTTCTTGCATTCATCCCATTGAAATGTCATTGAGCAGGCTTTCAGAGTATTGAAGAAGTGGTGTCTTTTGAAGGGCATACCAAATTTCTCAACTCATACTCAAAAGCTGTCAGGGACCAATACTAGGGTACCCGAAGAGGAGGAGCTAATGATCATCAATGTTGATTCATCCATGCGATCAAGAGCGCGACTACACCGCTTGCTGGGTCCTGCATCATCCGGCCACCGAGGCGGTGGGCCCTTCCATGTCTAACCCCCGAGGGTTGGCTCTGCCTCGGTGGGCGCTACGACCGTGGGCCCCATCTCGCCTGACCCTCGAGTGTTGGCTCTGCCTCGACTGACTCCTGAGGGATGGCATCATCTCGCCTGACCCCCGAGGGATGGCTCTGCCTCGCTCGACATCCAAGGGTTGGCTCCGCCTCGCCTAACGTCTGAGGACTGGGTCCTCCTCGCCCAACCCTCAAGCGCTGGCTCCGCCTCGCCCGACGACTAAGGGTTGGCACTGCCTCGCTCGATGTCTGAGGACTGGCTCCGCCTCACCTGATGTCTGAGGGCTAGCTCCGCCTCGCCCGACGTCTGAGGGCTGGCTCTGCCACGCCTGATGTCTGAGGGCTGGCTCTGCCTCGCCCGACATCTGAGGGCTAGGTCCACCTCACCCAACATTTGAGGATTAGCTCTGCCTCACCCAACATCTAAGGGTTGGCTCTGCCACGCCCGACATCTAAGGGCTGGCTCCGCCTCACCTGATGTCTGAGGGCTGGCTCCACCACGCCCGACGTCTAAGCGTGACTCCTTTATAACAACGCGCGTAGATAAGGCAGGGCACTCAAGTCAACCACAAAACCAAGGACCATACCCTGCACACCTACAGAAAAGTACCATCATGCCATACTAGAAGGGTGCTTTGCGACCTTCCAGGCATGTTAGAGCCCAAACAGTGTCCTAGGCGCCGACATTTGCCTTATAGTGTTGTGGGCGCCATCATTTGCCCTCGGGCACGGATCCTTATGGAAGCTCACGACAATCACTATGGTCCAGAAGGAAACTCGCATCATCCACAGTAATGGACATGCGGTCACTATGCTGCCTGCTCCCTGTATGGCCGTTGATAAGCACCCTGGTCCGCCGCACCGCCCGTCGGGGCAGGATAGGATGTGACAACTTGCTGACAATGCCAGGACATGGCATCGTCAGCGGACAGACACCCAGCATGGCCCTGTCAGGGTCAGCGAACATGGGCCCAGCGTGGAGCTATCCCTATCACCACCTGCCATGTCAGTGGGTCCCGCACAGAGGAAAAGGAAGACCCGGTGTCCTTGAAGGACTTCCTTTGCCTCTATTTTTCCTCTTTTCTCCCATCTGTAATCCCTGCTCTCCTTTGGCCTATAAAAGGGAAAGCAAGGCACCCAACTAAGAGGGTCGATTCAACACATCATAGCAGAACCACTAGCATCAAACCTCGAACACATAGCTGAGCAGCGACCTAGCTCTCGGCATCTATTCGATCTTTCCATCAGAGACTTGCGACCCATCCCTCTCTCGCCGGTTTGTAACCCCTACTACGAACTTTTCAATCCTAATAACACGAGCAACAGCCACGAACTGGACGTAGGGACATTCTGCCAGAACCAATATAAACCTTGTGTCTTTTTAGCACACCATCTGGGCTAGATGTGCAATAATATAAATTTACTCGTTGGTGTTTACTCGAAACATCGATAGTTGGCGCGCTAGGTAGGGGCCTTTTGCGCATCCTGACATCAACACCAGGCCTCGGATGGCTAATCACAACGATAGCTGGGTTCTGGGCACACACGTGCGCTTCGGGGACCTGAACTTCATTGCCACGACAGAAGGAGAGTTGGCGCGGGCTCCCGCCGCCGCCCAACCTCTTCGCTCCATCGGTCTCAATGAAATCGCCGAGGCACTGGAGGAACTGTAGCTACATGCACCAGAGGTTCGCACAGCCGGAAGCGACCAGCTCCTCAACTTCAACTATGGGAAGGTAGAGCGCTAGCTCAGCGCCTTCCTGTGACCCCAACCGTCCTAGGAGGACCTATGCCACCTCACTTTTTCGCTCGCCAACATCATGACCACGTGCCCCGTCTGGAGCGCCCCAACCGTGCTCCTGTGTGGGTCACGCAGCGTGGTTTTGGTGCATGAGCATCTTGGCCCTCGCCGTGACAAAGGCAACACCCTCAACGCCCATGGGTGTGATGCGCCCTCAGAACAACCCGACGAGGACATGTCGATCCACCAGGCATAGCAAGGTGGCAGACCACGTGTCGTGGTTCCGGTGCCTGAACGTCTCGGCCTCCACCACGATGCACGTGACACCCCGTAGGCGTACCTACGGCGAGGCAAGGGAGGGGGCCAATCGCGGCTACCATCCATGTCGTGCTGGATGCTACGACAGTGGTGAGGACCGAAGCCCAAGCCCTGGCTTCCTGAGACCTCAGGCCTTTGGCCAACATGTCCTCAAAGGCAAGGCATAGCAGGACGAGGACACCGGTGAGGGCACCTCCAACCGTCCCAACAAGAAGAAGAACAAACAGCAGCGTGAGGGCTCACTCGTGGCCAATGCTGACCACAAGGGGGGGCGGAAGCCCGCGGAGGGTACCCCGAGCCACTTTGAGAGGTTGTTTGAAGGTCCACGCCCGAACCATGCTTTCCCTATCAAGCACCTGTACAAAGACTATGTCCTTGTGAAGCGGTTCTTGTCCGGAGGCTCCAACAAGGGGGGCAGAGGATGGAGCCTAGCTAGATGAAGCGCTTGATGTAGCCCTCCTTCGCTCGGCAAAGTACGCAAGGACCACCACAAGCTTCTCCTCGCCATAGGGGGGCCGTATATTATCACGAAGATGCTCTGGCTAGGCGCCTGTAAGCTCAAGACCATCAATGATGAGGTCTTCATCAACGCCTAGAACATCAAGTAGATGTCACTTTTACCCTTAATAAATGTACACTTTCTCTTATTGGTTTTGTTATCAAACTCCCCGATCTTTCATGACATCTGACCCCAGCAACGGTAAAGGGTCGGGCCTCACTCGGGGGCTGATATGAGCATATCCATCCGGCAAACATTCTATGTGCCTGTCTCCCTTTTCATGTTAAGACCTAGGAGCTAGGTTTACAGGGACAAGCTCTGAGTATAACTAGTCAGACTACGAGAAACCTATGCCCTAGTGGTTACAGTGTCTTTGCTCACCAGCGTGATCAGAATTGGCTCACCCGCACTCCGAGCTTTTACAACCTTAACGATGAAATGGGTCGGAGTGCGCTAACCTTTTTACACAAAAGGGGGAGAATGGCTAAAAGGTTGTTTGCTATAACGGAGTTTAAAAGCTTGTCCATTTGTTACAAGTTTCTCCGCCTGACTTATCTGCCTAACTAAATTCTTGCGTAGGATATCCTCATCCTTTATCTCCATAGGAAAGTCTCGCCTGGGCAGGTAACACAAGTCAACCGGATGGCATGGCCATGGCTGAGGAATGGGTAGGGAGTAGATAGGATCC